CGCCGCCTTCTTTCGTTTCCTTTTTCACTTTCTTCGGAATGGAAACTTAAAGAATTGTTTCGGTTCCAATTTTGCCACTACACATGTTCCGCAACAGATCAGGGGAGCCAACCTTCTTTTTTTTCACTATCTTCACTTTTTTCATTTAGTTTCATTAGTTTCATCAGAGAGAAACCTGAGAGCGGCCATCCTATTGTAATTTTTTACGACGGTTTCAGCCGCTGGTTTTAGCCGTATTTCCACAAAAGTGGAACTCAAAGGCCGTTCTACATTAAACGCAAGTAGCAGATCTCGTGGAATTGATCAATTGCAGAGTCAAATCAGCCAATCGACCAACGTGATTGATCAGTTCCACGAGATCTGCGACTTGCGTTTAATGTAGAACGGCCTTTGAGTTCCACTTTTGTGGAAATACGGCTAAAACCAGCGGCTGAAACCGTCGTAAAAAATTACAATAGGATGGCCGCTCTCAGGTTTCTCTCTGGTTCCAATTCCTGTATTTCCTGCATTTCCTGCATTAGTTCGTTCCATCTTGCTTAACTGAACACAGCCCAATCACAGACAAAGTACAGAAGAATAATCGATTGTGATTTGTCAATTTCTTACTGTTACGGCCTACAACTCTCCATTGTAGACGGTTCTTTAAACATTCATGCATTTCATGCGAGAAACGGAACGCACCCTTTATGATTTTCTTCTTCTTCTTTGCACTTATGGCTCCGTGCCCCTGAACTGTTTAGGCACCGGCCAGTCTTTGCAGTTCCCTTTATGATCTGCGTCTACATCATAGACTTATATAATAGACGGAACATTTTTATGACGAAGTTGAAGACAACATTAAAGGACAGAAATAGTGCTGGAGTAGTTGTTTCTTTCTCTTACAATAAGAGCGGTATGGGACCAATCATCTCACAAGTCTATGCTATCACCTTTCACTATCACTCTCTCTCAACTGACTCTCGAACTCTATCTTCGTTGCTCTCGGCCACTCCCTCGTCCTGCCGCGGCCACCAATCAACTCACTGCTAGAAAAGAAGAGAACTACTCCACGACTATTTCTGTCTCTTTTAACGAAGCTTCAGCTCCTCTTACATGAATATTCTGTCTATTATATAAGTCTATGGTCTACATTTAAATGTAGATAGGCCTTAAACTCATATATGTAATACTCCTATATTGCTAGTCGCGTATCTTCGCAATGGGTGTGTTTAGCCGAAGTTAGCGCTACGTAGCGGCTTCATGTAGCAGTTGCAATTGCTGCGTTACTTCTGCTGGACAGTATTGCTACGCGCAGCGCTTTTTGTAAGCGCAAATATGTTTGTATACAAATCGCCGTTGTATTCTTCG